TATATATATATATATATATATACATTAATATATATATGATCAGTTTTTTAACTTAAGATTCAAACGTAAGAGGTGTAGAGCTTACTATATTATTTGAAGGTAGCATTAGTAGGAAGGCAAGCGAGAAAGGACGAAACAACGTCTGGAGCGTCGCGATCTGTACGTAATCGCCATATTGTGAGTGTCAGGTTATGTTAAAACAAAAAAATAATAATAGCCTAGCCTTATAATAATTTATCAAGAAGATGAGGCAAAGAACAATAATGTAATATTGTGTATGCATTGTTTATGTGGAAATGAGTTGCTTGGAGAATTATTAAGTATGTTATGATTGCTGCACTAGAAAGGACACTCTGAAGCACCTCTACATGTTCTGATCAATACCAGAATGGTAACTCAAAGCAAGGCAAAGTTATCTATGCAGCACAATTCAAAAGCAAGACATTTACAATTCCAGAGAAAAAAAAAGATATAAACCTAGAGTTAAACATAAAAATATCTGATTATTTTTTCCAGGAAATCAAGCTCATTGTATACTGCAGGTACACTGGAAATAATTAAGTGTATTTACGGTACTCTTAATTTGAGCAGCTAAATTAGATAGTTTGCCAATGAAATAAGTATTTTTACTTTTAAAATAAGATAATTAGACAAAATGCACTTGAAATAAGACAATGCAACTGTGTTTTCTTATTTTAAGTGTAAATTGTCTTGTTCCATTGGCAAAATGTCTGTTTTACCTCCTTAATCCAGGAACAAACGCACTTATTTTAAGAAAAAATGAGATCTAGATTTCTGTTTTTTCCAGTGTAGAGTGCAATAACAACCTTTATGCATAACTGTATGTGTAAATTGCTAAACTACAAATGCTATAATTGATCATTCTACCTTTAGGTAACCGTGTAGACAGCTCACGTTACAATTTACACTTTACCTATGTATTTTTGTATCATGTATTTTGTGACCTTGTAGATTTTATTCTATTTTTCCTGTTATTAGAACAACTTATTATGTCCTGTACTTATAACATATCTTTTTGAAGTTATATATACATATACACAGTTCCATAAGTTGTTTCTTCATGGGAAAATAACGCTAAATTTACATGAAGTTTAATAACAGGTAATTAAGTGTAAATAAAGCTGGTTTCCACTTCCTGCCACTTCCAATATGGCGGACGCGCTGACGTGCGGTTTCCACGGGACAGAGAAGCCAATGCGTCGGCTGCTCGAAACTAGCAAGCAAATAGCCTCCGCATAGGCGACGCACTGTCAGAAGAGGAAGACGCTTCCCATTTTGCGTTATAAATATTTACTATATACGGTGCTTTAGCTAACATTATTAAATAAGGTTTATTTCTATCATTTTATTTAATTCTTTTGCGTCGACCGTAGCAGGGAAACCTTTAAAGGTAAGGTACTTTCACCGTTTGCTAATAATCTGCTAGTGATAAAAAACAACAACTCATGAAGTTATAAAGGACAAATATACACAATATAGCATTTGAGACTAACGTTGACATTTTATATCTGCTGATCTTTTAGGTTATATACTACGGCCCCATTAAAGTAAATAAGTTAACGAATTAAATCAATAATTGCTTGTTTTTACATTTTCTTAGACTTAGAGACTTAGATTTTATTTTGTTATTTTGAACATACCAGTATAAACAAAAATAAATTTCGTTAAGTACAGATCTCTTCATTTGCAGGTAATCAGCAGTGATACAAACATTGTGATAAAAAAAAAAGTGATGTTAACAAATGACTATAGTTACAGTTT